TCCTACCTCTGACCTGGAGCTCTTTATTTATAGTTATGGACATATAGTTATTGGGGGTGTACTATTTACTCTACAACATATATATGTGTGTGTGTATGTAAAATTAAAATATAACTAAAAATATATCTGTAAAAAGAAAATATACATAAAAACAAAAAGAAAACTTATCTTAGCAATTATGTAATACATAACTTACTTTCTCAAACTAAAATAATATAATTATATTTATAAATTATAAAAAATTCAACAATAACAACATTTACTCACTTTCATTGCTTAGATATTATATTGCATCACTTAGCATCCTCCATAGTTTACCTTGACTTTCAGTTCTGCTGAAGTATATTTATGTGCGTTCTTAAATTTAAAAATTCAGAAAAACTAATGACATTTTTACTTCTGTGTATAAATACATGTTGCAAAATAAAATCCTTACATTTGCCTTGATAAAGTCTATCAGAGGATAAAATGTGTCAGCTAACATATGTTTTCCTTTTTTGGTTTATTTACATTGATATATATATATATATATATATATATATATATATATATATATATATATTAAAAAAAAAGGCATAAACACTAATATTCCATCCAAATTTATTCCATTGGAATCGTAAATTGAATTTGTAGGTTCAATGATTTGATCGTATTTTGGATCGTATTCCAATGGAATAAATTATGACCATGGAATATTAGTGTTTATGCCTTTTTTATTATATCCTTACTCTGTCCTAGACATTGAGTTCTACCTGGATTCTATCCCTTGGAAAAAATTTTTTTGAAAAATATACATGTATGGGTATTTATATATTTTGCATATGTATGTATATTTTCCACTAATATTATATATATATATATATATATATATATATATATAAAAGTGAACATTGAAGTCAACACTCCAGAGGCAACAGGCTGTTTCATGATGGATGTAATCGTCAGACCACAAGTGTTGGATTTTTTCTCAACTATTTATATATATGGGTCAGTGATGCATTGTGGGTAATCCATTCTGGTGGTTACTTTGATGGGAGTGGCTTGTTTATCTATATTTTGGCTTGTTTATATATATATATATATATATATATAGAGAGAGAGAGAGAGAAATAGATAGATAGATAGAAATTCATAGATGGATATGAATAGTGGGGATATAAAAATGATAACTGTCATTTTCACACCTCAAGCTATCCTCAGACTCGTGTCCACACTATCTATATTTATAAATGCTCTATCTCTGATATTGATCATTCTTCTCCTATAAATATAGGAAATTCTAAATTGAAACAAATTCAATATCTGTCTATATCTCTGAGATGAGGTATAATGATTACTTACATTATTCACAATACTCAGACCATTATCCTCATCGCTATATTCAAAACATTTCAGCCATTGTACACTCCATCCTTCCATATGGAAGGAAAAGGGAGATATTTACCCCCTGTAGGATGAGGTTGAAATAATAGACAGGGAGCATCATTGGAAAATACGAAAACTTAATGAATATGCTAGGCCTCAAAAATCTTCTGAGCTGACCAAGCATAGAAATGAATACAATATGAGAACCAGTAATAAGAGAGTGCTAGAGAAAAGCAATGAATAACAACAAAAATTGCAATATAAGCTCTAGTGAAAAATGCAAAAATAATAACAGAAATAATTGCAATATGAGCACTGGTAAAAAAAAAGGCTGCTGAGACATTAGGTTTATAAGTGCCAGAAATCCAAACACAGATGTCCTCAGGGGACACGTGGCCCAGTGGATAAAGACGTTGGTTAGATCCAGTGACTAGACCAAAGAGTTGTGAGTTCAATACAAAAACTTGGAGAGTTGAGTTAAAGTGAAATAACTGAGACATCTGCAAGAGACATGGCATGTAGAACTAGAACCATCTATCCCAGTGAACAAAATAAAGGGTTCAGTTCAAAATCACCTGAAGAAGGCCAGAGTGTACAATGAAATGTGAATGAATGGTCCATGTAAATAATGCAAGATGTGTTTGTTTCATTCATTGGCAAATATTGATTTTCATGATCACAAAAACAAAAAAGAAATGGAGTGTCAAAAGGATGGTTTTTCCTTTGACACTGCTATTATTTTAACTACCTTCACTCCTCAGCAATGTTTATTATTTTAAAATGATGATTACAATTGTAAAAAACTGAAACATGATTAAAGTGAATTTATACATTCTTTTTGTTCTTGAGAATTTACACTAAGACTAATGCAATATTTATCATTTACCAATTTATAAAGAAATAAATATGAAAACAATTTTTTACCTAATTTATAAACATTTACTAAATTAATAAAACATGTGAACCAACCATAAAGAAATTGTTATTATTTAGCATTTTATAAAGTTTGAATCAATTGGCAATTAGCCAATGTTTTGCCAACCATTCCAATAGCCAATATAATAAATAAATTATATAAACAATCTTGTGGTGGACTTCACATTAAATTAATTTAATTTTAGATTAGGAAACAAGGCTCATGCAAAACAGGATAACCAAAAGACATTGTTACACATAAAATATGTACATTATTTACATTATTCGGACTATTGTCCTCATCTTTGTTGCCATATTTATCACACGTTTCGGCCGTTGTACGCTCCGGCCTTCTTCAGGTGGTTGGAATGTCGAACTGAACCCTTTATTTCGTTCACTGGGGTAAACTGTTCTAGTTCCACGTGCCATGTTTTGATGGATGTCAGTTATCTCCCTCTGAAAGTTCTCCATTGCCTTAACCGGTATTGAACTCACACTCTTTGGGTCCTGTCACTGGATCTAACCAATGCCTTTATTCACTGTGCCATGTGTCCTTGGGACATCTGGGTATGAATTTCTGGGTATTATAAACCTAATGTCTTCAGCAACAATTTTTACCAGCGCTCATATTGCAATTTTTGTTGTTATCATTTCATGTTTTTACCAGAGCTCATATCGCAACTTTTTGTTGATATCATTGCTTTTCTCTGGCACTCCTTATTACTGGTTCCCATATTGTATTTATTTCTATGCTTGGTCGGCTCAGGAGATTTTTGTGGCCTAGCATATGTGCTGATTCCTTAAGTTTACGAATTTTCCAATGGTGTTCCCTGTCTATGATCTCAACATGACCCCACAGGGGGCGGTGATCTCCCTTCTCTCTCCATATATGGTCAGCCATGCCTGATTTTTCTACTTCCCCTCGTGTTACAGCTTTCTGGTGTTCTTGAAGCCTTACCTTGAGGGGGCGGCCTGTCTCTCCTTTATATTCCTTTCCGCAGCTGCACGGGATAGCGTACACACAGTCTTTAGTCATGTTCTTCTCTATGGGGAGTCTTACTTGGGAGAGATATCTGCAAAGTGTCGTCAAGCTTTTGAAGGTTGTCCTGATGTTATATGGACCGCAGTTCCTTTGTATTTTCTCTGATAGCCCCTTCACATAAGGCAGGCAGACTGTTTGTTGTTGTCCTCCTCCTCTTGTACCCGCCTATCCCAGTTTTGGGGGGCTGCTGCCATGTACCCAGGATAGTTTTTTTTTGTTATTTTTTGTGAGCACATAAGTTTGTTTGTCAAATTTTTAATTGTATTTTTCCAATTTTCGAATAAGAAAAATAAAATTAAACAGACAGACCTTGTTGGTTGAATTGAATTTAATCAATCTTGTTTGGATGAATACTTGCTCCCTAAATATTATTTAAATTCTAAATTATATATATATATATATATGTTTAATGATTTTCTTTTATGAGGCTTTTTTTACATGGTTCATCTTCTGTGTGTCATGTCCTTTCATGACGTTAGCAATCATAGCTTTCCATAACTTCTCCATCCTTTGTTACCCTCTGCAATGTTTGTCTTTTTACTGTCCCTCCCACTCGAGTTCTGCCGTCCATTTAAACACAAACTTGCCAGGTAGATGACCCACTGCCCCTCCCTGCCCTGTGAGTGCTCAACGCTAGCAATTTATTTTATTTTAAATTATTAAATTTTGAATATTGTTACGAGTGCTTGACATGAGGAGACTTATTCTTAACGAGGATCACCATCAACCAGAAAACATTGGTGATGAATGAACGAATAAATAAAAATAAAATAAATGTTTTCATTATCCTCATCTTCTTGCTAAATATGGCAGTTTTTTTAAGCACCTATGTAATTTTCTCACAGAGAAAATTACTTGTCTAGTATTCCATCAATCTGACTTAATTGAACCCCAATCTAAGTTGATCCCAAAAAATAATTATCACTTACTTAATTGAACTTCACTTTTGTAACACATGTGGTCAAACACGGAAGGAAACATTTCTTTTTACTTCCGTAATGAAACATTTGAAGGCTAAAAATCTCTGAATTTGTATACACATACATAAAGTGACAAAATAGACAGAAAGACTTTCTAAAAATTTATGTAGGATTTAGCTTCGAAATCTTAAAAAAAAAAAAACTATGGATAAAAAAAACACAGCAAATTGATGTATTTTTTCCGTCAGTGTTAATTTTTTCAAGTAGAAAAATAGTGTTTTTTTTTTGTTATCTCGCACTTGATTAAAAAACGTTGTTTCCGTGTTTAAAATTTCCAACTATTATTCACTTTTTTAATGTTTTTCGTTTGATCCATGATGGGTGAATAATTCATTCTCAAGAAAGACGGATTAAAAACTTTGTAACTGGACCCTTTATTTTTATTTTTTGGGTAATTCAATCAACTTCTTAATTTTATTTTTGTATTATTATTTTTTTGTTCTTATAGAATTAAATAGAGACTATTGTACGAAATTTAAAAGTTAAAACCAATATTTATTAAATTATTATTAATTTTTAAATGTTTAACTCGGAAATTGTAAGTTAACTGACTTCTTTTAAAACTGGTTTTTTTGTTTGAGTGTATGTTTGTCAAAAAGTATGGGTCGACGTTTACAAATAACGGACACTCCCAGGTGGCGCTTTGGTGTATTTAATAACCAATGACGACAGGTGACCTCTTTAAACCACCTGTACAGGTAGTTTAGGACCTACTACTCATTGCCACAGGTAAGTGGTCGCTTCTTCAATCTACTTGCATTGTTTTGAATTTTTGTCTTGGTCTGTTCAAAAGATAAATATTTTTATGAATCAACTGAAATGTTTTTTTTTTTTTATTATTGAATATTATTTTGTAAATGTACCCAGAAGGTAAAAAAAAAAATCCCCACCCTCTTGACTTTACTGGGCCAAGAAGATGGCGCCTTTTGTTAGGGTTTTATTTTCAATTTTTCATGATCTAGATTTGTTTAACAAAGTAAACTGAAACCATTACACAAAAAAAAAAAAAAATAGAAACTAAAATTGGACAGCAAAATTCATACCTTTTTATTTTGTATATTATTATTATTTTGTGAATATTATCTTCTGTTCATTTACCTGGGCCAGAATGATTTCTTTTGATTTGGGAACGACATACCTTTTTTTTTTTTTTTTTAGTTTTTCATCCTAAAACTTTTCTCATGACTCGCTTCCGGTTTTGTTAAAATTTAATTTTTTTTTAATATTTACCTGCAAATAAATTACTTTTAAGCTACATTTTAAATTTAATTTTTATTTAAAAAATATCTATTACGGTTCATAAGCATGCAGCCAATAAATATCACAAAAAACAACGCACAACAAACTCGACGTTCACCAGGGTTTTTTTTTAAGATTGTAAAAAAAAAAAAATATGTGAGAAAACTATTTGTTAAACAATTTGGAAAATTGCTCAGAAATGCTCTATCTTTTACACACCACGTTTTACGGCAAGATGGAATGAGAAAATACGAGATTTTGTACAATTTTTTTTCTTCAAATTATAAACCTCAGAACATCTGAATTTTCAATTCCTGTCTTTTCCAAGTAAAATGAAAATCTAATTTAAAATGGATTGAAATAATTCAATTTCCAGTACCAAATGAAATATTTAGAAGTAAAAATTACCGAAAAAATTAGATTTATTACTTTTTTTATATAATTACCTCTTTAGTGTGAAGCAGAAAGTTTACTTAGCAGATCAACAGGAAGTCAGTTCAATCCTCACTGGGGGTCCCAACTAGAAGCAAGTTTAAATAATAATATTCGTAGTATTCAGCCAAAAAGAAAAGCAACTTCTGATAATTTCAAATAAACTTTACTTATTCGCAAAACTCTCCGAGACGATATCTTCTTAAAAAAAAAACTTAATCCAAAACTAGAAGAAAAAATTAAATGTTATGTAGGTCAAAGTCAAAAACTAATAAAAACGTAAACATTTTTTTTTTTTTTAATTTAAGTTTTAGTTTTCTGAAAACATTTTTTTTTCGTTATCTCACCAAAGAAACTTTTTTTTATTTTTCGTTTGCTATATCGAAATTTATGCCTGCCTCCAATGTAATTGTTAACATGTAGCTGGGCCATTAATCAAATGTACAGTTGTACACTACAGTGCACTGTATACAATAACCATTTAATCCCTCAACCGGTAAGAGCAGGAACTTCTGCCATAAAACTTCCAGACCCCACATTTTTTAATTTTTTTTTTTTTTTTTTTTTTAGAGAGGTGCAAGAAGGTAGAATAAGTGAAGTTATTTCAAACATTTAATTCTAAGTAAAACCCTAAATGATCAAGCAAGAGGTAATATTGTCTTTTAAAATAGATTCTAAAAAATAGGTTGATCATTTTATAAAAAAATTGCTTAAACAAACTTTTTATTTATTGGAGCTTCAATGAAATTACACCCTATGGTCTGAAGATGACTGGAGGTGTGAAACCACCCAGTGTTGTTGATTCTTAGTCTTACACTGTCTTGTTGCGGGGTGGAGTAGGATGTCGCCCCCGCAAGGTTTTTTATGTACATAAATGTGAACAGCCAAGACAATGACGGGACAAAGGCAAAGGTTTTGTTATGAATAAAAGTGTCGAATTTATTAACACGCTTACATCGGTGTGGCCCGGTATGACTGGTTGACCGTGAACGAAGCTGGTTCGGCCGAATGTAGCTGGTCTGGTTCGTAGTTTAGGGATTGGTAGGCTTAACGTAGCTGGTTCGGTCGAATGTAGCTGGTCTGGTCCGGTAGTTTAGGGTTGATCTGTCCGTGTTTAGTTTGTGTGTTGGTTGTAGCTGGTTCGGCCGGTGTGTATGGAATCTCAAACAGGGCCAAGGCAGAACAGTGATGCGACTTCACTGGGCGGATCGAATCACCAGGCGGCGGAGTAAACAGGGCCAAGGCAGCACAGTAATACGACTCCACAGGGCGGATCAATCATGAACGGGATCGCGCCAGAGTGTATCACCAGGCGAGGCAGGTCAGAGAGGTGTTACACCTTCCAGGGCGGATCGACCGTGGAGACGGATCGCGCCAAGAGTAACACTCTCGACAAAAAGCACCGGAAGTTCACAAAGGTAGCGTACTACACTTTGATCCAGGCCGAGATTTATTTTGTAAAAAATACAAAATTGTGGCACAAGGCCGAAAAGGGGAGGGGGGTAAGGCTGGTCTTCACTAACTATCTTATACCTAGCTAATTTGATTCACGACCCATTCAGACATTACAATTTACTCATTCACCATAAGAACTCGTCCGTCATCAATCAATCCTCCTTGCACCATAATACCACATCCACTCTAGGGAGACCTACAAAACGCGCCCCATGTCATAATGATCCTAACACATATGTACAAAAATTCTAAGATGAAAAAAATGAGATGGGGGGTGGGATGTGAACCCAATAACAAACTAAATTATTAACATAAATGAAAATAAAACGTTAACTGATGTTAGTAGGGCCCTTCCAACCCTCAAAATGCAGGGAGACCACTGTATTCTGCCCATTGGAACAAAATCAAGCAGCTCTCTCGCTAAGGGAGTGGGAAAGGTGATAAAAAATCATATGGGCATGGGGAAGTATAAAGCTGACCCAGTCGAGATAGAAAGTGGGGATCCAAAAAACAAACTGGGGAGGTTGGGAATCTCAGGCTGGATCATAACTAAAGATGTGGCCGGGGCAGGCAAGAACAACACTTACTCGCATTAACTAGGTACACCAAGGCTTGTCTAACCTAACCAAGGGGAGGGCACCACAGGAAGCCACCCCCGTAATGTAGGCTTGACCTAAAACAGAAAAATCAAGGCTAGCCCGTTCACCGCAACCAAGCTCGCCTCAGTCACCCACCTTTCGCTGAAGACTGTCGAATGCAAGCGTTTTTCTATCAGTTCTAATCTTCGTCTTGAGCTGATGCTCAAAGAATCGGATCAGATCCTGATGAGAAAGACGGTTACCCCGCAAGACTTCCTCCTCTCGTGTCGTCCATATCACCATTCGGGCCGTGGCTAGCAGCATGAGAAACACCATCCGTTTCACCCCGGAATACGGGGCGACACATTGACACACGCCAGCGTGCTGGATCCATGGGCACAAGCTTTTCGGGGCGTAGACGAGCTGTCAGCTCGCCGACATGGTCCCCATAAGGGGCGGACACGGGGGCAATGGAAGAAGGCGTCTGGCCGTTTCCTCTAGACCAAGGCCACACCGATCGCAGTCTGGCAAGTCCGCCAAGCCCCATATGAAGGCTATGTCGTTGAGGGCGATTCGAGCCAATCGCCAGGTAAGCGAAAACTCAGGGTTAATGAGGTAATCCGCCGCTGGCGCCCAAGACCAGTGAGAGCGAAACTCATCATCCGACATGTCGAGATCCTTGTGTAGGGGATCCTTCATGACACCCTCCACTAGCGAACGATAGAATACCTTCCTAGGCCGAGAAAGGTCACTGGACCAAGGGACAGCCAACAAGGCCGACCGACACTCGCGAAAGAAAACCGATTTAATCCGGGGTCCGGGCCGAGCAGCTTGGTTTTGGGCGACAAAAGTGGCTAAGAATATTTGGAAAGAGTTGTTCAAGTGCTCCCTGGCTAGAGGGAGTAGAAGACCGTAGATAATAAATTACTATCAATGGTTGCTGATGTTTGGAATATCTCTGCATAGTCAGATGCACACTAGGTATGGTTTGGCATCAACGATATTGGACTAGCCGTCCGGTTTCTCACATGTTGCTTGACCTAGATCTGCGAGATCGGGAGTTGTGAAGGTCAAGGTCGGCTTTCTAAGGAGCGGATAATCGGCGACCGCGACAGTCTATCTCAAAATTCTTTGATATTGTGCACTCTTACCTATAGCAAATCCTAAGCATCTATCTGTTGCAGGGAGCCATTCGTCTGTTAGACTATCTTCACGCAAACATTAAAATGGTAGAAGTGACATGACAAAGGCAAGGATAGCTAGAACGAAGTGATTAATTAGATTACTAATAATAATTATGCCAAATTTCTTTATTGGCAAAATCAAAGTAACAAAGAAAAATGCAAAGGTCTAGTGTTTTGAATTGCTTTGGCTGGCTGTGCTAAACATCATCATCGGTCCAAACTGAGCCAATAGTTAGTAGGTTGGTGATGTACCTGGAGTTGTGAGTTTGGTGGTAAAACAGGCCTGAAAGTGGCCTGTGTGAGTAGTTTGTGGCAGACTTCACCACATTAATTTAACTTTAGGAAACAAGACTGACGTTGAAAAAGGATAAGCAAAAGACATTGTTACACATAAAATATGTATTTAACAAGATGTACAATATCAAACAACGATGTGAAGAAAAGCATGCAGTTAAGTAAGAAAAGGTTGAAATAAACAATAGTTGTCTCTCTTTAACTGTTAGTATTTCAAAGTTCACTGGAATAATGCTCATGAGTCTTTTATAATGACTATTCTTAAAAGATTTTGCTGTGTAAGAAAAGATTGTGAGTATATACAAGGTATGTTCAGCATGTGTGGGGTGTGTGAGTGAGAAGTTTGGTGCATGGTTTCCACTGTCGTGGATTCGTTTGGCAGCTGAATTCTCACTAATTAGCTAAGAAACATTCTTGCTTAAATAAGTGACTGTAGGCTCCAGACCACTGCGTGGGAAGAATTATTCTTCACATGCAGACGATCTGATTGGTTGGCATCAACCAATCAGCAAGCGGGCTTTGGGGAGACTTAAGAAAGCTTCTGTGA